TTGCTATCCTCTTCGTTTCTCTTTCTTTTTCCGTTTTCTCTTTGTTCTTTCTATTTTTCTTATTCAAACCCTTTCTTTTACCCTAATTAACATATAATCAAGTGTAAAAGATGGCAATAATAACCCACTAATTAACTTAAGGTTACCTCTTTTAACCCCCAAGTAATTAGACTTATTAACATTAACCCACTAACCTTATAATTAAAGCAGGAATAGTCAAAAACGTCCCTTAAAACGTATAATGAAATCCGACCCGGACTGGGATTGCGCAACCTGTGACGGGCCGTTGTGCCTGCGACAGTCCGTCCTGCAGCTCGTCGCAAAGTTCAGAGACCCAAATTTTCACCAAGGGTCTGTGACGGTCCGTCACACCTGTGACGGTCCGTCGTGCCATTTCGTTACAAAGTTCAGAGAGTCGATTTTCAGTACCCAATTTTCAGTTTTTCTATGTGTTTTGAAACGAGACCCTGCGACGGTCCGTCGTGCCCATGACGGTCCGTCGTTGGGTCCGTCGCCTCAGCCTATTTTTCCAGAATAAAATCTGCTACTCAAAACGACTAAACAGGTCGTTACACATACTCACTTACTCAATTCTAGAAACAAGTTATTAGAAATTAACGAAGACTCCTCAAAAGACTCAAATGGACTTTATAAAAAGGATTCGAAAGAACTTTCAAGACTTAACTCTTGGCTCTATCTTGAATTTGAATTATGAATTCAAGATTATTATTTGTGGTAGGAGTCATGATGAACGGTCAATAAAACACTATATAAGAGTAAGTCCGTCACACAGATATGCATTTTAATATTTAATCACGAAATAATAAATTTAAGATTGAATTATTGGGCCAGTTAACGGGCCCTTTCTTATCTAGTGTATATATATATATATATAAGTATGATGATTTAGGATGGCCAAGGGCACTCTTGAAAATCTGAATTTTTTGAAGGGTAAAATAGTAATTGTGTGATGAACAAGGGCTAGAAGGATCACAAAAGTTCCTCTTCTTTCTTGATCAAAAAAATCTACAGTGAGAATAACTTTTTATACTATTCCTCAATGTCAGAGTCTAGAAATATCAGTTCTTAATAGCAGAAGCGTCTAGAGGTCTTCAAAATTCTATATTCTGCTCTTTTAATTCATTTCTCTAATTCATGATCTTAGGTAAGCTTTTATCTCATCTTCATCTTTATTCGACTCTTTTCATATTTTCCAATTTAATGGTTTATTCTGTTAAAACTTTCCCTTTTAGAGCTCTTCAACATAAATTTTCTTCCTTTGTTTCTCTTTAAATTGTTGATATTATTTTTCTCATACTTCATAGACTATTTTTTTTCTTATTTATCGGGTGTTTCATTATCAAGTTTGTTTTTTTAAATTTTTTTCTCAAATTTCTTCCAGTCCAATTTAGCATCTAAATTTCATGGTTGATGTCATTATTGTTAGCCTATTACCCACTAATTTCATGGTTAAATTGAAGACTCTAAACTCTTGTTCATCTTCTCATTCAATTCTCTAGGTATGTCTTCCTTTCATCAGCAATTCTTCCATGCATCTTCTTTCTTCATATATATATATATATATATATATATATATGCCTAATATGAACTTTTGGGTTAGATGGAAGCTGTTTATAAGAAACAATGCACTTGCTTTTGCTATGAGTTTTTAAAATGATTTTTTTCTAGATGCTTTAATCTCTCATTAATTTTTTTCCGCAGTGCTAATATGAACTTTTGGGTTAGATGGAAGCTGTTTATAAGAAACAATGCACTTGCTTTTGCTATGAGTTTTTAAAATGATTTTTTCTAGATGTTTTAATCTCTCATTAATTTTTTTCCGCAGTGCTACTTTCAATAAAAATTTTCAGGTTCTCTTCATCTTCTCAAGCCCCTCACCATTTCAGGTAAGTGTCCTTTCAATTCTCGTCCTTATCTTTCTCTAATTATGTCAAATTTTTCAATTTATGATTTATATCCACACATGATGTCATACTTACTCTGATTTCTTTATAAAAAAGATTAGCTAATACGTTTCATGTTTTATTGCTTACAACACCTATTTCTGCTAACTCAAATCAGCTGAAGTGTTTTATTATTTTTTGGTTATTAGTTGTGTGTATTTGAATGATATATATTTTTCAAAAATATGATGATGTTAACGTAATTGTTACTATCTCTGGAGCATATTTTGTTTGAAAAAAAAGATACATAGTTTGCACGAATGCAAGAAGTGATACTCTTTGTGTGACTCATAATTCTGGAACCATCTACTCATGACAATTATTTTAAGTTTCTCTTCATCTTCTCATCTAAGTGTTGCGATTTCTATTTCTTACAAATAGATAAAATGTTCCAGTGAAGCTTTCTATTTTATTGCTAACAACTTCAATACTTTTAGTTGTAATTATTTTTGGTACGCTGTCGGACTGAGCTAACTTGTTTGGGACTAAGACGTAGTAGTTGATGTAGATAATTGCAACACTGCTAAAAGAGAATATATATATATATATTATATCCATCTACTTCATAGTGCTAATTTATCTAACATATTGATTTGGCTTAGGTGATACTTAAAAATTTCTCTTACTTCTTACGTTTGTTCATTTTTGTTTTGCATCACGTATCTGTTTTTGCTACTAAAACTTTGAACAAATTACCAAATATAGTTTGGATTCATTGTATGAATTTATATTGCGTGGTAGGTTTATGTTTTGGTTATAAGCAAACTTATTTCTTTAACTATTAAAATAACCTCTGTTTTTCTTTTCTATTGAAAATTTAGCTTGGACAAGAGTTGGTAGAATATTCTATTGGACAATGTTTGTATGAATTAGAGAATGATTCTGATTCAACTTTATCATGACAAATTAATTTATAGGAATAGATTTCATTTGCTTTTAAAATGAACCATCTAATTGCTATTATAAATCTCCTTTCTACGATGAATGGTTCCATACAAACTTAACCTTTAGTTATGTTCCTTCAACTTATGTAAAATATAATCTAATGTGAATTACATATGTATGATTTACTGTAACCTCCTTCGAGTTGTTTCATAGTTTCTAGATCTCACTACTCCCCTGGAAGCAGAACCTACATCACAAGCTCTTCTTTGTCGAATTAATCTGTACGGAGGAAGGGTTCCTGCATTGTAAATTTAACCATTTCAACTTTCCTTTTTTTATTCATTGCCCTTAAATGAAGTTTTTTCCGAATTCTTAACCCAGATTCAAGTTTCCTTCACCGTTTTTCTGAATCAGTCAGTGTCATTGATTTAGCTATAAACATAAAAACTCAATCGATTGTCTATAACCATATCTGAGATATGAAACAAATAAATATGTAAGAAATTCTCATCAATGGAGACTCGATTAGCTGCCTGTTAATTTTTTCATCAAGTCAAATTTATCTATCAATCACCAAAAATCTCAAAATGGGAAATCAAAATAACCAAGCGTCAACAATGGTGAATTTCAAAGCTTTGCACTAAAAAATATTTCAATTCAGTATGAAATTTCAAAATCCAACATCAAAAACAGCAAATCAAATATCTGTATTTCAATTTCATTTCTAGAGGTTCCAACATTTTGGATTCTTTAAATGCGTACCTACACAAAGTTTTTCTGGTTAGTTGATGCTGAGTTACTCTCTAAGGTACACTTGTTAAGCTATTCATAAGTTTGAGAGTGTTTACATTAGTGATTTCTTGAGCACCTAATAATAATATAAGTGTACTAATATGACTGTGATTAGTTTTGTACATTGAACATTGATAATTCATGTTACAAGATATTGGTACAATAATTTATAATTAAACCATACCTTACAATATCCTTATAATTAAAAGCAATTTTTGGAGTTAAAACTATAAGATACAGATTAACATAATGTTATCCAACTTTAACCATTACAAGCACAATTCTTATTCGAATTCTTTTGAACGAGAGAAGAAAATTGCAATTTCATTTAATTCTCTTCTGAGATAACTAAGCATGAATTTGGTGTTCTTATAAGTACAACATCAGAAAATCAATGAATAGTGAATCTCAATTTAGAAGATTAGAGTGTATGTAGACCTTATTCCTACCTCGAATTCTTTAGAATTCACAAGACTTATTAATTCAATTTATAGGAGTTAGGGTGTGTAATGAAGGACAAAGGATAATATAGATTTCAATAAATTATCACAAATAATATCATAATTTTCAACTATTTGGCCTGATTTACTCTATGATAGGAATGTTTGTGCCTTTTCATCGCTTTTAGCTTTTGGTATGCAACAAATTTGTCCTTTCCGTTCTCTTTCCTTAGTATTTTAGCATTCAGGTATTGTATCTTTGTAGTTTCTCTGTATGAAATTGTGACCTCCCCTTATGGAATATATACTCCAAAAGGAAAAACATGACATAATTTTTTTTCTATTTCCTTGTATCTCCCTTAAGTTGAGCAATATAGTAGTTTTATTGTTGCTTCCGCAATAAATATCTTTGTTGTTAATTTAAGTTCTCTAAATGTCCATAATGTTCTATTTCTACTAGCCATATTGGCTCCTTGAGAAACATTTTTAAGGTTAATATGACTCAATATGGTTTCGATTTCACCCTCTCTTCTCGATCATGTATTACATCCACGATTTAAAAACTTTAATGTTAAATAATTATTCATAAGAACGTATTTTGAATTCCATAGGATTGCCTATACTGGATCTTGCTTATTTCGACTTGTTATATGAGTAGATATATACAGTGTGACCTATCCACATGAGATTATGAGGAGGTATGAATTGTATAAGATGTTGTGTTTACTGATTTTATATTCAGATAATTGGTACAAAATTGCCAATGTTATGAGCACTTGTCTAATATTTTATTCAATTATACCGTGCATAAAAAGACAAGGAAGTAAAGTTTGTAAAAATATATAATAAGTTGTGATATGACTATTGTCGATGGTCTTTGACACTATGAATTGTTTCCCTTCTGACATTAGAGATGATCCAATACTTTCTGAAGACTCCACATCAAAGATGAGGATCGTATGGATATGTTAACGTCAATTCCACTAGGAGAACTATATTCCTGTTATTTTTGCAGAAGATGTAATTTCCAGTGACATGCCAAGAAAAAAGGAATGGTAAGATTGACACTAAGTACTAAGTACTAATTAGTAAGTTATTTTGCCAAACATTATTTTGATGGTTGATCCGGAATCATTGTACATTCTCATGTTCAACTATGCATTTTAATTATTTTTATTAATCAAATTGTTTCCGAGAATAGATAGCTTAGCTCATTTTGTTAATTTATGTTATTTCTTCCTTTTTCGTTTTTTATATGGGTTATAATCCTGTTGCATACATTAATTTGTTATTTGATGTTTGTTCTGTTTTTATGTGGGTTTGGTCTTTTTAATTGTGAGGATGCTATATAATTTTTTCAGCACATTTTGAACTTATATTTTCAAAGTTTGTCCACTCAAGGATTGTCTACGATCAGATTGTGTTTTTGTTATCCTTACGAATATTTTAAGTGATTAAAAATTTAAGATTGGGTAAACCATTAATTACGGAAAGGAAAGTGTCATTGAGCTTCCATGTGGAGTAAAACGTTCATCATGTCATCCGCTATGAAGGTTATGGAGCAAAAAACATTTGAATTATACCTAGGTAAATACAACCTTTCTTGAGTTATCTCACTATGAGTCTTAAACATTTTTTGTTTTTTTGGTTTATTAATGTAGGTTGTAATAAAGATCAGGAGTATATAAAAAGGTTCTTCTAATTTCGAATTTTTCATCCCTCTGGAATACATTTCTTGGTTGCCCAATGTATTGCAAATGACATATTTTTTCGAGGAAGGAATGTATTTGAGAGGGGATAGATTTGTATCCGAGAGAAATAGAGATGTATCCAAGAGAGGATTATAATATCATAAGTTGTAAATTTATGTAACTTTTTCAACAAAATATGTGAAATTATATCGGGCCCGTATTACGGGCATTAAATATCTAGTATTTATATAGAAGAGTGAAGTGGTAGGACGACCAAGGGTAAAAAGGTAAACTTATACTAATAAAAATCAATTAATAAAGATAGCAAGAGAAACAAATAATTCTAGAACATGTCTTTGTATATATATGAAAGTGAATGGTGATCAAAGTAAATATGTAATTTTACACTTACAAAAATCAACCAAGAATAATAATAAGAAATTAAATAGTTCTAGAAACATCTTTGATTAATATTATTTCTATCAACACATTTTGTTATCACTTCACATTTTTATGAGTTATTGTGATATCTATTCATTACTCTATTAAATTATTATTCTAATTAATTTCTAATATTTTTATATTCATTATGCTTACTTGTAATTACCCAAAAGCTCCTCTTTAGAATTTTGAATATTTGTTTAACTTAAGTTAATTAATCGATAGTTTATGGGCTAAAGTGATAATTTATTTTAGATCCTATACTATTTAGCCTTTATTTAATCAAATATGTGGGTAAAACCTATCACAATTAGTACTTAATTAATTCACAAAAGGAAAAAAAAAGAAAGGAGAAAGACGGAACGGACGAAGGGTTCGACTGCTTCAGGTAAACTACATCTGCATTAATTTCTTTAATTGTTGCACACATATGTTTATATATATAAGATTGAATGGTAGGAAGAAAGAGAATTAGGATCCCTTTAAAATTTTCATTATAATATAATATTTTTGATGGTTGTATTAAAATAATAATAATAACCTAATCATTGGCAATGATTGCCAAGATATGATCTAATGTTTGTGTTTGGCAAAATTTGGATGCAGATTATTAAATCTGCAATTTCTTTTTTATTCTTTTTTTTCCATTTCGTAAAATCATCAACTTTAATATTTTATTTTCTTTTATTTATTTTTCTTTTCTTATTGTTCACATTATAAAAATAAAATATTATTAAATTGGGTTGTTGGAAGTGATTGGAAACGAAAATATATATAAAAATTTGTATTTTTGTGAAGTTGAGAATGTATCGGATAGTGATCTCTACTGATTAAGCCTTTGACTAGATGGAAGTATTGGAGAGTAAATTTATAGAAATATCCTTACTATTGTTAGCATATTATAATTTAAGTTTGTTATACTAAGATAGATAATTAATTGTTGGTGGATTATTAGAGTGGTATTGAAGGGAAAAAAAAGGAGGGACTTAACCTTAGACTTGGAACTTGAAAAATATAATAGTTGAAATGTTAGTTGGCTTCAAGAGTTACGAACTTGATTATAAATTTGAGATGAAATTTTAGGTCAAGATTAAACACACAAAAGTGTGAGTGTTGTTAGTTCTGAAACCTTATTGTGAATATATATACTTGCATAGATTGCATCGATTTGGAAGCTCAACGGAAGGGGAAGGCTCAAGTCCTAGAGTGATTATTCGAGTGGTTAAGGCAAGTGAATTTCTAAACTCTTGTTAAGCGTATGAAATTCTTGTATCTTCTTGTGTGAAGTTGAGAATGATTTGGAGACTTGTTGCTTATTTGTTGGTGTTGTATTCCTTGTTGTAAATTGCGCTTTGGTATCAAAATGGTTATCTCCTCATTTTTCATTTGAGCATGTCATTTGCATTGTGTCTGAGACATGGTTGTGGTAAGAGGATGTACCATTTCGAGGGTCGTATCGCGCGCCGCGATGGATATCATATTTCGAGGGACGTATTGCGCGCCGCGAAGGTTACTATTATCGAGGGTCGTGTCGTGCACCGCGACAGATGCATGGATAGATATGTCCCCCATGGGTCCCAGACTGAGAGACAGTGCGTGTGTATCGTTAAGAAAGACATGGATCACTATATTTGACATTGCATCTCATGGCATTGCACATTTGTTATTGATGAACTTGAACAGGTGTTTCGCTGATCTTGTGAGTGTTTTTCTGTGAAGCTTGTGACTGTTGAATATTGAGAATGTGTAAACTGATATAGTGTGGTTATTGAGTTGTGTGTTTGGTAAACTGTAAAATGTTAGGCTGTAGCGTGGAGGTCTAGATAGGGTGTAAGAAGTACCCGTATTTTTGTTCACTTAACTTGTGTTTAGAGGTTTGCTTGTTGGGTACCGCGTGGGTTGGTACTCACTCCTTGCTTCTACAAATTTTTATAGGTTACGAGCCCGAAGTTTTGTGATACCTTCCATTCTCTTTGTTTCCGAGGCATCTTGTGGGGGATTGTGAGGTAGCTGCTTGTCATCTCAGCGAACTTTCCTACTCCAGTTTATGACTTTGTTTTTACTTGAAAGACAACTTCATTTAGACTTCTATTTTGTTTCAATTCTAATATTTACGTTAGAGGCTTGTGCACGTGACAACCTGGTTTTGGGGATTGAATTAATATGACTTGGTTTTTTTTATAGAAATTGTTGTTGGATTGTCATTTACTTCCGCACTTTGTTAGATATTGGGTTTTAGGCTGACTTGTCTTTGTGGGATAAGACGAGTGTCATCACACCCATTTTGGGTCGTGACAAAATGGTATCAGAGCCCCAGGTTCATAGGTCTTACGTGTATACAAGCCGAGTCTACGTAGAGTCTCAAGGATCAGTACGGAGACGTCTGTACTCATCTCTGAGAGGCTATAAAGATTACTAGGAAACATCCTTTTGTTCTTTCTTTCTCATCGTGCGTAGTTACCTTCGTTAGTACTGAGTTGTTGTATACTCTTTTGATAGATGACGAGGACTAGAATTAATGTTACTGGTGGTAAAAGGGAGGCACTTCCCGAGGCAGTTGTTGAGGCCCCAGCTAGGGGTAGGGGTAGATCTCGAGCTAGAGGTCGTGCTAGTAGTATGACAGTATCCAGAGGTCGTGGACGTGGAGCAGCACCAGTGAGAGGTCGTGCTAGAGAGGTCTCTACAGAACCTCAGACTGATGGCAGAGAGGACCAGGTTCCTTCAGATCCTGTAGTAACACCTTTGCTTCAGGATACACTATTGAGGGTGTTAAGTGTGCTAGAGGTATTTTCTCAGGGTGGTGGGGCGACTACCACACCACATGACTCTCGTACTAGAGAGGGGGCTCAGACCCAAGAGCAGCAACAAGCTCTAGTTGTACAGGATGCGGTGAAGCAACTACCAGTAGATCCCGCAGTTCAGAATGATGTTGCACCAGCAGTTGGGGGTCAAGTTGCATCGATGGTTGTTCTGACAGAGGATGAGAAGCGTAGGTATGAGAGATTTTGAAAGATGGACCCACCTCAGTTTCAGGGTGGGAAGAGCGAGGACGCTCATGAGTTTCTAAATACCTGCCGAGAGTTACTAGAGGTGGTTGGATTAGCTGAGTCACATGGGGTGCTACACTCCAGCTTCGTGGACCAGTGAGAGACAGGTGGAGAACTTATTCGGGATGTTTTCCAGTTGGATCTCCTCTTGTGACTTGGGAGCAGTTTGCTAGCGCAATCCAAGATCGTTTTATCCCATGGAGCGTGAGAGAGGAGAGTCGCTTGAGATTTGAGAGTCTGAGACAGGATGGTTTATCGGTTACAGAGTATGAGGCGCGTTTTTTCCAGTTGTCTAGGCATGCGTTGGCCATTATTCCAAATGAGACAGAGAGGATCCGCAGATTTGTGAGGGGATTGACTTTCTCTATCAGGTCAGCTGTGTTTCGGGCATCTAGGGAGGGGGCTTCTTTCCAGTCCATTGTGAGCGCTGCCAAAGAGGCAGAATTGATGGAGAGAGAGAAGTTTGGGGACCCTAAAAGGGCCCGTATATCAGGCCAGTTTCATGGTTCCTCATCTGGAGGTAGGGGATCACAGAGAGTGAGTGGTTCTTTTCAGCAGCGGGGACCTATTCATGCATCTATGCCGACATTTGAAGGTGGCTAGACATCTAAGGGTTCTTATAGCCCGGTTCAGAGCTCGTACGATTCACAACAGCGACCTACAGGGCGCGGAAATTATAGTGGGTTTTCAGGGTCCACACAACAGTTCCCAGGTCAGAGATTTTGTTTTACTTGTGGAGATCCCGATCATCTAATGCGGCAGTGTACTTCACAAAGGGTTCGTGGTGGGCCTCGACCTAATTCTTCATTCTAAACTAGACCACCAGCACCACAGGGTAGAGGTCGTGGCAAAGTTCAGTCAGGTAGAGGTGATAGAGTTTCTAGTAGTGGTGTTGCAGCTCAGCAGAGTGGGGGTAGAGGTACCACCCAGGATGGAGGTGGACGAGGAGGCCACTGCTATGCTTTCCCCGGGAAACCTGAGGCGGAGACCTCTGATGCTGTTATTACAGGTATCATCCCAGTATGCCATCGACCTGCGTCTGTTTTGTTTGATCCAGGTTCTACATTCTCTTATGTGTCTAAATATTTTGCTGCTAAATTTGATATGATATGTGATAGCATGACTGTACCTATTCGTGTTTCTACACCTGTGGGTAAGCCCTTAGTGGTGGATCGAGTATATCGATCCTGTCTTATTTCATTGGTTGGGTATGACACTTGGGTAGACTTAATCATTCTGGGGATGTTAGACTTTGATGTTATCTTGGGTATGGATTGGCTTTCTCCTTATCATGTTGTCCTTGATTGTAATGCTAAGACTGTGACTTTAGCAATGCCTGTTATTCTGAGGGTTGAGTGGAAGAGTGCTAGTGGTTCTTATCCTAGCAAGGTCATCTCTTTTATCCGTGCTCAGAAATTGGTGGAGAGGGGGTGTTTGTCTTACTTAGCGTTTATTCGGGATTCTAGTATTGAACCACCTCCCATGGACTCTATTCCCGTGGTTCAGGAGTTTCTCGATGTATTTCCTTCTGATCTTCCAAGTGTTCCTCCCGATAGGGATATCGATTTTCCTATTGATTTCGAGCCGGGCACTAAGCCTATTTCTATCCCTCCATACCGTATGGCTCCAGCAGAGTTGAAAGAATTGAAGGATCAGCTGCAGGATTTATTGAGTAAGGGTTTTATTCGCCCTAGTGTATCACCTTGGGGTGCCCCTGTATTGTTTGTGAAGAAGAAGGATAGGACT